TGGCAGAGGGCCCTGGCTTGATGCAAGGGCCCGGCTCACGGCAGGCTCCTAACTCTGCCTCCCAATATCCCCATCGCGGGAGGCTGGTCCTGATGGGCATGGAGCCACTCTGCTCACTTACTGCTAGGGAAAACATTCACTCCCTCTGCCTTTAAAAGCAGGAGTGGAAAGGCAAGGTTGAAAAGCTAAAGTGGGAATGCAGAGATGCAAGCACAGCCCCATAGGCCCATGCTTGCCCCTCTGCCGTACATGTGTCCTCTCAGGGATTTTGTTATTTCCCTCTGCCCTCTGTGAAGGCTCAGAAATGCAGCAGCTAAATAAACATGCCACGCTGCTCGCAAGTGCCTTTTCCATATCAGACAGCTGACTTTCCAAGTGCCATAAATATTAGGTTAGTACTACGTCTCCTGAAAGCCCGGAGCCAGGGACTGATCCAAGAGGCCACATAGCTGCTCTTTGGGCTAAATCTGGAACCCACAAACACAACTTATTCCATTGAATGCGAGGTGGGAAAACTGGCTTGGAAAAACAAGTATTCTTTCCTGTCAATTAGAGTATCTTGAATGGAATATTTAATATTTTTAATGGAACATCATGAAATCACTGCTCATGGGTGCTTTGTAGCTGTTGGAAACTCTAATTTACATGATTATTATCAGGAAAATTTGCCAAAGGACTTGCAGGGCAGAGTCATGCACTGGGGAGCAGTGGGACTATTTCTCCATGTTCCCCCCTCCCCATTCTACGGATAGAGAGCTCAGAGCAATGCCAAATCAAGCAGCTGCAAAGCTGGACAAGCTGCTGTTGCTTTGCAATGTGCTGCCTAAGCTACACAGCCCAAACTCAGCTGCCGCTGGAGCTCCAACTGCTTCAAAGCCATGGGTTGATGGAGCTGGAGAGCAGACCTCAACATAGGGCCTCTCCTTGTTTGCATCAGACCCTGAGGGCTCTCCTGGGTGTTAATTGCCCTAATGAGCCTCAGCTGATCTCACTCTGCCACAGGTCCATTTAAGCTCAGTCTGGAGGGGTTCTTCTCTTTTTGGGCTATGCTGTAAGTCTTGTCTCATCTCCAGCCTTGTCTCCTGGGTGAACCATGGACCCACACTGCAAGTAGGTCTGTCTCAGGTCCTCCTGGTAATGCGCATGAGGGGACCCTGGGCTGATGTGGCAACTGGTCTGTATTTCTGTTGCTGTGTCCTGCTGTCCCCTGATCATTTGCTCTTGATTTCTTGAAGCTGTAGGGCCACCAGGTACTGCTGCTCTTGCTAATGTTGTGTCACTACCAGGAAAATCTGTTTGAGTTGTTGTCCCCCATCCTGACTATTTTCTTCCTTTTTGCTTGTTCAATCTAAGTCAAGAGAGTCCCTTGCAAAAGAATTGTCTATTAAATTCCTAAAGCTGTTTCTAAAGGTCACTTTTCTGCTCTGCACAAGTGCCAAGTCATAAAGCCTGGGTGTTCTGTCCCTTCCCTGTGCGTGTGCCTGAAGAGCCCTCCACGACATCAGCCTCCCCCCCGCTAGCAGCATTGCAGAGCCTCAAGTGGAGCTGCACGCTGGCTTTATATTCTTGGCATAGTTTTCAGCTGCAGTGTGTAAGTACACGGAGCAGGAATTTTTTTTTATTTGTTTTCCAAAGGGTTGTGCTCTCCTGTTTGCTGGGAGCAGTGAGTCAGCAGCGCTGTCCTACTCACCCTGTTCCCAGAGACGCTCCCCAGCCTGGGGCACTTCTGCCTTGGGGCGGTAGAGATGTCTTTACTCATTGTTTTCTTGGTACCATGGTGGTTCCTCTGTCACATGGCTCTGTGCTTCAGTGCCAGAGAAAGCCTTTTAAAAAACACTGTTGGGAAATACAGGGATTTGGCATTCATGATCCCATTTTTCCAATTCATATGAACAGTTTAAAAGCAATTAATGTTTTTTTGGGGGGAGGGAAATAACTTTGCAGTCTTTGCATTGCCTGCTGGTTTGCGAAACAACTAGAGATGCACAAACTCGGGCTACAGTTTCAAACTTGTCATTATTCTGAGGGTGACAAACACGTTTTTATGGTATGCAGAAGGAACATCCCCTCCAGAGCTAGGCAAAGCACCAAACACTGCAAGATTTGTGATTAAGAAATGTGCAAGCAAACAGTCTGTCACTGGAAGGGAGACTTAATTGTTAACTGGGTTGTTCCAGCATGAGCAGTTTACTGCTTGTTGCCACTGGATACTGATACCTGAGTACCAATTGTAACTGTTTATTGTAACCAATTTTTAAGGGTGCTCAGAGCCTGGCAGCAGCATCTCTTGAAGCAGCCATGGTGGTGCTTCTCCAAGGAAGACTCTGAGCAGCCATCCAGGGGTTCCAGCACTTGCAATGTGTTTGCTTTGCCTTATTTATGGTGAAGCTTCTCCTGGGAATTGGGAAAATAGATGTCTTATAATGAACTTGTTACAAATTGGGAAGTGCTACATGCACAGGTGCTGCAGGCATTGGTGAGAGAGGGGAGGAGGAAAATATATATATGTATATATTTTGCTGCTGATGGACTTTGCCTTGCTGCAAAGCTGACCTTGGCATCAGAGCTGGTGAGCACTGTGCAAAGCCCCTGTCAGACTGTTTCAATTTCCTTCTGTCCTCACCAAGTCACCTGTGGGAGCAAAGGAACTGCTTGATCAGGATTAGCTTAAATCTGAAGCATGCTCAAGTTTCCCAGCTCACTTATCTCCCTGGAGCACCCATGCCACTGCAAGGAGCTCTGGCACATGCTGCTATTGCAAATGCTTCTTCCCATGAAAGCACCCCCGAGCACTGCTTCCTGACCATATCCAGACCGGCAGAGATCAGCGCAGCTACGCTGGAACCCCTGGGGTTTCATGGAATTGCTCCCACCCTGGCCCTGAGTCATCAGTTGGTGCGTTTGGGCTCTTGCTTTTTGACCTCCTCATGTTGTTTTTGCTGCCCTGCGAAAGCAACTATTGTCAGCCAGATCTTTCCTGGATGGAAAAAAGCTTTCTCCATTGCAGTAAATTGCTGGATTGAGTATTGTCTTCCACTTGTTTTATGTGGCCATAGCTGTAGACTGATAGTGTGTTTAGCTGTGAGAGAAACAAAGCTTAGAAACTCCTGGCACTGATTCCATGGTCATCTCACTCCCTGTTCAAAATCTCCATGTCATTTAAGGAAAATGTGGCTAACAGGGAGGCTGGTTGCCCTTGCAGAGCCTAAGTGCTGAGCGGTGGGAGCACATCCTAGGTACAGCATGCAGGAGCTCACACCTGCAGGCACCTGCCAGAAATACTGCTGAATTCGTGTGCTTCATCCCCAAACCTCACAAGGATCTTCCAGGAGGCTGAGAGAAATGCAGGATGTACTGGCTGCAAATAAATTTCTTTCTGCAAGTGGAGGCAGTGTAGCATGTATATGCATATATAGTATATACACACACACATAACTAGTTGCTTTTGAACAACCTAGGTGAAAAAATGAAGCAGAAATCTTCATATTTGTATTTGCTGCTTGGAGAAGTGGGTTGCTAAAGAAGTGGCTGTTGTGGATCTGTTTGAGAATGAGGCTTTTCAGAGTCCCAGGTGTGACCTGCAGAGTGGATTCTGGGATCAGGGTCTGAACAGCTCACATGCAGACAAGTCACAGGTCTGACAAAACTAGAGCTTGTAAAAGCTCTATTATTGGTATTACTGCTTTTCGGACATTGTTATTTTATGGCTACTGCATTTTTCTAGTTGCTGATGATCAGTGATTTCTCTCTGAGGACTATCACCTAGCAGCCAGTCAAGAGTTTTAGTGTGATTTCTGATTCCACACAGGTTTTTATATTTTTTTAACAAAAGCTTTTTATGCTTCAGTCTGAAGCTGAAGCCTTTAACAGTAGCAGCCAGGTTAGTGCGTTAGCTCTGATGCTTGCTTTCCAAATAGAGACTTATGCCTCCGATCTTCAGGAGATTGGTACCTTCATGGGTTACAGCTCATAACTTATTGATGGTTTCTAGTTGACTCTACATCTGAATCATCTGTACTTGTATCTAAGCAAATACCCAGTCATCTCTTGAGGTACTGTGTTAATGAGGAGGGCTGAGATTTAACAGAGGAGGTAGAGGAACTGGTCTCCTGTGTTAAACTTTGTAGCTATGGCCCTGAAGGGTTTCTGACTCCATGAAAAATGTGCTTGCCTGTTGGTGCTTATTGCAATGGTTTTAAGGCTAGACCTATTGCAATCCCACCTCTATGAGACCAACTGCTTGGGACACCCAATCCCCATGCTCTGGGTTTTGGTGTTGGACAATATGTCCGCACAGATGCAAAACAAGTAACAAGTTCAGTATCAAAATAGTTTATTAAAAATAATAAAAAACTTCACTGAAGCTTTCTGTCCTCAAGACAGGATTATGGCATTAATGCAGCTTTCACATTCAATACAATCCGAATCTGTATGTAATAGACTGCGCCTGTTCACTGGGGCTGTGCCCTGCCCTCAGCCCCCAGTTACACAACCTGTCCCTCCAGGAGGAAATTACAGCCCCTTCTCATCTCATACTGCTGCTGTGACAGTCCAGCAGTCACAGAGCAGCCCAATGTGTCTGTTTGCAGCTAGGAGCCTCCTGTTTACACAACCGGAGTTAAGACATGGAGCGATGACGGCAGCCCTGGTTGGTGTTTAGGAAAGACCAGTGTGTAAGCAATGACTCAAGTCCCCAGCGCCGTGCGGCTGAAGGGTGCTCACGAAGAGGAGGCGCTGCCCTAGCCTGCTGTGCCGACACCTCTGCTGTGGAGCTGCCTCCTCACTGCAGAGCCTGCAGAAAAGTGTCCATCCCGCAGCCGCCACGGCAGCCCCTGCGTGCCCTCCAACATCGTCCTCACCGCGGGCCCGGTGCCACAGTCAGTACTTGTCCATGCAGCCTGGCAAGAGGACCCCAGCTATCTCAGGCCCTTGGTATCTCAGTCTTTCAGCTTGGGATGCTGCCAGTGGCTGTGGCTTCTTGCTTGGTAGTCCAGAGGCTTCTCACAGCCCCTTGTAGTTGCTCATGTGGCCTGGGCCACCCTGGTGATGGGAGGCTTCTTGCACAGTTCCTGATAAAATTCAGACTCTAGAAAGCGTGGGTAGGAATTGTTCTCCATTAAGCTGTAGACTCTCTTCTGAGCTGCACTGAAGCAGGAGTGTGTGGCTTCCTGGATGTTCTGAGCAATCATGTTCTTGGTTTGGAAGTCTATATTGATCTGAAAGAGAAAAGGACATTTACTTCAGGGAACTACATTTAAGAGGTGGTTACTCTACTAGGTTAAGAGAAAAGTGAAGCAGGTCTAATACTCTGCTCTTCAATTACTGAAGCTTCTTTAAGTAATTTGGAGGATGCTATGTTTCCATTCCTAACTCTCAAATATATTACAAGTATTAAATGAGGCTCTGATTTTCCCTAGCTGAGAGAAGGTGGAAGGACCCTCTGCAATGCTGCTTGTGCCATTTTCCAATGTGGCAAGAAGGCACTTAAGTGAATCTCTCTCTCTAGGTGTGGATATTAGCAGCAAGCCCTGTGTGATGAATTTTTGGCATCTAATGTGAAATAAGCTCAGAGAAATAAAGCAGAGCTGTATGAACCCACTGAAGAGAGCAGTTGTGTTTAAGTAGCTTTTTTACCTCTTTAGGAGCTTCCTTTTCAATGAAGTCATTGTAGATTTTTTTTGCTTTAGATGTCAGCTTCTGGGGTGACTTGGTTTTCTTGAAGTCCTCGCAGGCCAGCCAGAACTCGATGTTCTCTTCACAGTACTCTGACTTCAGAAAAGCTCGGAAAGCAGCAAGACCATCTAGGGAAAAGGGGAAAATAGCAAAAATACATCAATTATTTCAGGAATCTTGAATGTAGCCATTTATCATGGCTGTTCTGAGCAAAACACATTGCTATAGTTCTGCTCTATTTCTTTCATGCACTGAAACTCCATAAAGAAAAGTTAAACTTCTAAGGGCTTGGCAAGCTTCACTTTCTTAGTTGCTTTTAGGTGAAAGCAAAAATAAAAAGCTGTTTCTAGTCTGTATATACCCTCTTGTGATGTGTGCACAGCTGCTTTAAGAAAATTCTGTTGAGATTTTCATGCTAATCTTTAGACTGGAGTAAATATTTATGACAGTGCTACAAACCCAAGGAATACTCTTGCAGCAGAAAGGTTGACTTGAAGTTCAAAAAGCAAACAGTGATGTTATTTCTTAGTCTTTTGCCCTGCTGTTTAAGTACAGGGCTGCAGTAAAACCAAGGGTTCATTCAACTTCTGTTGAGTGTTGCAAAATAATTCCCAAATTATTTTAATGTTTCTGTCTTGATATGCAGAGAGCTCAGACCTGTGCCTTTGGTATTTGGCAATGCCAGCTAGAAGTTTAGTTTAGCTGCAAAGGTTACAGTTAAACCAAGAAGAGGAAAAAAGTCTATCATAAAGATGTTTTAATATTGGCTTGAAAATAATTTTGAATTATTGAATTTATATTATTAATAATTATTTGAATTTATTTCTATAAATTTTTCTGAGATGGTTTAAAGTACTTGTTTGAGAGCAGAATCAAAGCTGTGTGCACTGCCATGCAAGGAAGAAACCTTCCCGGAGCAAAGGGCTGCAGAGGCTTCTAGGGGTGATTCTGTAAAGACCAACTTACATTTGCTAGCAAGGAGCTCGTCAAAAGCTTCAGACCACAGCTGGGCTTCCTCGGGAGAGGGTCTGTGGAAAAAGGAGAACGTTAGGCCACTGTTCCTGTTATTTTAGGGGCTTGTAGGGTATTTGGGGTGCTTCGAGTGCGTTTGCTAGAAGTTACCTGAAGTAGGTGTGCTGCTTCCCGCCCTTCTTGCCTTTCATCTTGGCAGAGTTGGACGAGTTCTGCAGGAAGTAGCTCAGCCTCGTCTTCCAGTCCTTAATGCTGCGGGAAGGAGAGCGGGATGAGCTGCGGGAAGCCCAGAGGCGGCGATCCCCCCCCC